AACATAAGCCATTTATTTCTGGGAAAATCAGAGATCTTGTTAAAGCTCCAGAAAAATGTGATTTGGACCAAGTCAAAAATAAAATTGAAAAAATCGAAGAAAATATTGAAAAAATATTAAATAAACTTAGTATTGAATAATTGGGTGGTGGTATTTATTTGGATATGAATTCCGATTTGCTAATTTGAATTTCGTGGATTTGTATTTTTATATATTTTTATTTTTGTAAATTGCTATTATTTGTAAAAATAAACTTATTGTTATTATAGAATTATAAAACCTCGGTTCACTTGCCAAAACTGGTGGTTTATAATTACGGCCAAAATTTCGTTCGACGAATTTTCAACATTTTATAGTAGTCGTCTGGGTTTAAGGAACGAAACGTAATTAGTGGTTTTAATTTTTTAAATAATCTAATATTTACTGTTTTGTAAATAATTAATGTTTTTGGGAACATTCCAACTTTATGATGCCAGATTTTTTTTTCTTTGATATAACATCGTAGAAATCTCCTCTCTATAAAACAACATCATTTTCACTCACCATGCATGGCCTTGTCAATAAATTATCAAATTTACGGTCATCACTAAGATTTGATTTGTCAGAAAAACGATAAAAAGATTATACCTATAATTTTTTTATCATTTTCCGATGATTGACGTGGCTATTTTCAAACAATAAATAATCATCCTTATGGCTATTGTGATATTCCAGACTCCCCATTCAAAAGCTGGCGAGGATACATATCAGAGCTAATATTAAATTTCTACTAGAATCTAAATTTTTGCTAAATTGGATGATCTGTTATTTTTAATTTGTATAAGGTAGTGAGTGATGTGTTAGCCGGCTAAAAAAATTTCATTTTTACGTCTAGGATTTTAATGCAGAATTATGACATATACATTTGGTTGAGATTACTTGGAATGACAAAAAAAAATACATTTGCTCAAAAAGCAAAATACAATATCGAGTTTCCATTCGTAATATAAATACTTATTTTAATTCGAATTATTATTCGTTCTATTGGTTTTATTCGTTCTATTCGAATAAAACTTTCAATGTAAATCGAATACTCAAATTCATAACGAATAAAACAAATAATTTGAATTATTGAAAGCGAGTTATTATAATAAAAATAGTAAATAATAGCAACAATAATAACGATAGTAATAAATAATACTGGCAAGCTTAGGCTTAGTAACATCTGAAAAGGTTTTTTATCAACTGGGATTTGTTAAGTTCTTAGCCGGTTAAGGTTCTAACATCACTAATATAAGGGTCACAATACCTAGAAAAAAGAATCAGAATGTAAATTTATACCATGTGTAGTTTAGATTTTGGTAAAAAAATTTTTCACTAAACATTTGTGCATCAAAGATTTGATTGTTAAATAAAAATTCAGATTATTGAGGCAGTTTAATAGAAGTGGTTTCAGTTAATTTATAATAATAAAGGTAAAAAGTTATGGCTTAGCATTCAGAAAGTCAAAGTTTATCCGGTCTCTCTATACAACAGTTTAAATGAGTCGTGAGTTATTTATTATTAACTTGGCAAGAAAATAGGTGAGTGGTGTAAAAATTTGAAAGTAACCACAGACTTGGTTTACACCTGCAATTTTATATATTGAGTAGTTACACGAAAGTATAAAATCAGAATTGTCGCCGAGTTTAAAATAGTGACATTATTTTAACAACCATTCCCGATTATTTAGCCATTTTTGACTAATTATTGCATTTCAATAACTGGCTTATTGTATGTCCTATTATAAAACATTCCAAAATTCCCAGATTAAGGTTGAAATGCCCAGGCATGCAATAATGGAAATTTTAGCATGTCTTATTTTATAGGCAGACATACAATAAATATTAATGGTTGATATTAATTACGGGCCGAAATTATTTACTATTACTATTACTATTACAGTTACCGAAATTATTTACGGAATTTATTTTATTTTCATTATTTATTATTACTATTACGGTCTACCCATTAAAAATATTTCAAGAAGTGGCTGGTTCAGATGAATTTGATGAAAGTTTTGATGAAACGAATAGAAATTAGTAGAAAAAGTCGTCCTTTGAACTGGGTGAATATTTTGTTTGTCATTATTAGTAAAAGGAGAAGAATATTTGTTGTTGTTGTTCGTCATTATTAGTAGAAGAAGCTATCCTTCGATTGTCATTATTAGTAGAAGCTAATTTTTGAACTGGATGAACACTTTGTTGTACATATATTTTCTTTTTTGGCTTTTTGTTGTTTTCTTGTTCCTTGTTACATAATCAAACCTAGTTTCATTGTAATTTCCTAAAGTAGAAATAAAGCTTGATTTCCTGTTCCTTGTTACATAATCAAACCGAGTTTTATAGTAATTGCCTAAAGTAGAAACATTGTTTGATTTCATGTTCCTTGTTACACAATTACAACCAACAAACCTTAATTCTCAGATCAACCAGGGAATTTTAATAGAAAATGCGGGCACATTTACTAATTAAAAAAAAAAAATAATCAACTTGTTTGTAAAATGATTATGAAACATATAAAATTTATATTTCACTAAATTTTATTTATAACTGTTGTAAAACTATGTGAAATCGAAATTTATAATTAAAATTTTGGGGTGATATGAAATTCTGATTGGCTAATTTGAAATTCACATACGTGAGTTGTAGTGTTGGTTTCCAAAACTAGAGAGTTTCGCAACCGTACTAAAGTCAAAAGGTTTCGCCATAAGTCGAAACTAGTTTTGATTTTTGGCCATTGACTTTTGATTTAGTTTTGACATATAACTTTTAATTTTGGTTTTGACTTTCATCTCTTCAAAATAGTTTTGGCGAATTGCAAATTCACATAGATTTCATGTTTTTTGACAATTTTTTCTATAGTTATAAATAAGATTAGTGAAATATAAATCTTATAACCATTTTATAAACACAATTGATTGTTTTTTTTAATTAGTAAATGTGCCCCGCATTTTCTAAAAGATAAAAATGAATTTTTCCGAAATTTTGTGAAAAAATTTTTTTTTCTATATTATTATTACACTAATATATTAATTGGTGATGATTTGCGAATAAATGAGAGATGTAATATAAAATTTTGTCGACTATCTTTATTGGATTTTCAGTGTCCACGTTTATTAATCCTCATGTCTGCACAAACATTTAAAAGAAAACTTTAACAACTGGCGAAATCAATCAAATTATCCAATTATGGTCCATTTGGCATTTATTGGTAGAATTTTATTAACAATGAAATACAAAGCACGTTATCCAATAAGAGTCAATATAAGAACTAAAGATTGGGCTCAATGAAAAAGAATTTATTATACAAATAGTTGTAAATACAGATGATTTATTCAACATCGAGTGAAATGATAAATGAAAATGATTTGATAAACTTTTCAAAATGACATGTTATTCTGGACAAAGCATTTTGGGCTTTGATTTGTTGAATAATTATGGTAGACGCTTTAACAGTAGAGATTGAAACCGGTCAAAAAAACCCTAACCGGTTTTTAACCGGGATTAATAAAAAATCATGCAATTATGTAATTATGTTGTTATTTGATAAAATTTCTTTTAAATAATGAAAAATTCTTGTGCTCATTATGAATCAACTGTCATATGTCATACCATCTTTCAATAAACTATAATAATAATAATGGAATTAATAACACTAAAGTAAATATATGAATAAATTATAATTCAAAGATTTCAAAAGGTAGTAAACCAATTTAGTTGTACTCTCCATTCTCTTACATTTAGCTAGTAATGTGGATGTAGCTTCATTTCACCTACTGAAACAAAGATTTACAATTAAAGTAAGACGTTTTGTTATTTTAACTAGTGTTGGTTTCCCAAACTAGAGAGTTTCGCAACTGTGCGGAAAGTCGAAACCAGTTTCGATGTTTGACTATTGACTTTTGACTTAGTTTTGACATTAACTTTTTTAATTTTAGTTTTGATTTTCGCCTCTTCGAAATAGTTTTGACGACCAACACCAAAACCGATTAAAGATACTGGCTAAAATGCATGTTGATCTTTTCCACATTTTAACTATTTTAACTGGTTAACTGTAACCGGTTCCAACCTCTAATTTGGTTAAGGTTTATAAACTCACTGACGATCCGCGAATGAATCGGTGAAAAAGTTCCAAATTTATTTATGCAAGAGCTCTATAACCGTATTTTATTACATTAAACTATATTAATTTTTTGAGATTTACTTAAAAGGATATCATTCTATAGTGCAAAAATAGTAATACAACTTTCGTGCAAAGATTGACGGTTAGCAATTTAATTGGTAATTACAAATTTGTGTTTCTTACAATTTCCTACATTGGAAAATTTTTTTCATCTATGATTAATTTATATATAGAAAAGTTTTTTTGATAAGTTTGTAATACAAACATATTGTATTTTAAATACTAATTATAACGTCGTGTTTCCCAAGAAATACGCCATTTATCGTGGAATTCATTATATCAAAATATGATACATATAATAACTGGATAATGGTATAAATACGTTGTCAACTCGACTGGGTTTTTTTATTTTCTTTAATTAAAAAAATGAGTGGTGAAAATAAAGAAAATAGTATTGTGATTAAAGTTATTGCTCCTAACGACAATGACGACACAAATAAAAATAAAGACAAAGACGACGCGCTAACACCGATCAAAAACAACGATGGCGCACTAACGCTGACTGACATCAAAAAAATAGGTTGGGACGAATTTAATAATGAAGAAAAACTTGAGCCTAACCAAGAAAGGAAATATGGAGACTATATTGATGAAATGAAGTATAGTCCCAATCATAAATGTATTGTAACTCATTGTAGAAACGAAAACGGTGGAATCATCATTTTATGGACAGTTGAAGGAAAATATTTAATTTGTTCTAAAACTTACGAGTACAATAAGAGTTTTGATAAGAATTTTAAAATTCCTGATAATAATAATAAAACCAATATTTTTAATGATGAAGACAAAACCAAGACTACTAATAATGAAGACAAATTCAAGATTTATATCGATGAAGTTTCTGATAATCAATGTGTAATTATAAAAAGTGCCGGTAGTGAATATTGCAGTAAGTAGTTACTCCTAGTTTACTTAGTTTTTTAAAAAAATACAAACAATATTAATATAATTTTTTTTTAGTATTGTTCGATCTAGAAAATGGAAAAACCATCGGGTATCCTGATAAAGTTGAAAAGGAAATTAAAAAAGATAAAATTGATGAAAAAAAAGAAAAAGAAAAAGGAAAAGGAAAAGAAAAAGAAAAAGAAAAACATACAAAAGTTATTTTCCATAAAAATAGCGAGTCGAATTTTAAATTAATGAAATTAATAATGTTGAGAAGAAGCGATAGAGATGAAAAAAAGTATAAAGTATATTCCATGGAATATAGCAGCAATGCCGGTGACCATTTAGAACTTCTCGATACACATAATATTTATAGTGACGAAACCCCAAGAATTTATTATGATGGCAATTATTTTCTTGTTGCTACTAATCATTCATTGATATCGAAATGGGATTATATGAGTCATTGCAATCACAATTACAAATACAAACAAAATTATTACTTAAAATCTAATGATTATATTGTTCTTAATAAAAAAAGTAATGCGGAAGAGGCTTTGATGGTGGCTGATTATCGTCGAAATTCGAAGCTAGTAGTCTATTCATTAGAGCGTAATATAACAGTTTCATCATGTAAGTAGTTGTTATTATGCCCTATAGAAAATAAAAATACGGAATAGGCACGGAATGCAAAAAAAAGTACGAAAATACGTACAAAAGGTGCATTCCGTACCTATAACGTACCAATTCCGTATTTTATTTTTATAGGGATACATAATTAATATTATTCTTGTTATTTATAATAATAATCTAACACATAATATAAATCCATCTATAGTTGAATTTAAGGAAAAAGTTCATATTAAAAAAGTAGATTTCATTTATGTAAAAAATGACACAATTGTATTTGAGAAGGAAAAGGATGATAAAATGAATAAAGAATCAAACAAAGGATTAATCGATGATATTTTGACGAAATTAACAATAGAAAATCCAGAAAAAGCTTTATCAAGATTAGAAGATGAAATTGATAAGATTGCAGGAAAATATTGGAAATCAACAACAAAAAAAGTAAGAGAAGATGATTTAGCAAAATTCAATGATAAAATTAAAAAAGTCAAAGAGGTTTCTTCAAAAGAATATTGGACAAAAGAAAGAGAAAACAAAGAAAGTTTAGCAAAATTAGAAGATGAAGTCAATAAAATTCATAAAATTTCTTTGGAAAAATATTGGGCATCAAAGGAAAAAGAGAGAGAATATTTAGCAAAATTAGAAAATAAAATCAAAGAAATCAAAGGTAATATTTCAATATCAACAACAGAAAAAGTAAAAGAAGATTTAGCAAAATTACAAGGTAAAATCAATAAAATCAATGAAATTTCTTCGGAAAAATATTGGACATTAAAGAAAAAAGAAAAAGAATATTTAGCAAAATTAGAAGATGAAATCAAAAAAATCAAAATAACAGAAAAAGAAAAAGAAAAAAAAGATTCAGCAGAATTAGAAGATGAAATCAAAGTAATTAATGATTCGAATCAAAAAGTAAAAGAATATTTAGCTGAATTAGAAATTGAAATCGAAAAAATCAAAACAACAGAAGAAAAAGATGATTTAGCAACAAAAGAAAAAAACATCAAAAATATCAAAGCTTCGAATCAAAAAGAAAAAGAATATTTAGCAAAATTAAAAGATGAAATTGATGAAATTGGTGGGGTTAATGGTTTGGATCAATGTCTCACATTAGGAGAAAAAAAAGATTTAACAGAATTAAGAGATGAAATCAATGGAATCAATGATGATATTTTGAATCAGTCAACAATGAAAAAAGAAAAAGATGATTTACCAAAATTAGAAAATGAAATTGATATTTTGGAAAGATATTGGACATCAGATAAATCAGAGAAAAAAGAATATTTAACGAAATTAGAAAATAAAATCAATAGAATTAAAGGTAGTGAAGATGATATTTTGAATCAATCAAAAAAAGAAGAATTAACAGAATTAACAAAATTAGAAAATGAAACCAATAAAATTAAAGATGAAGAATCAACAGAATTAACAAAATTAGAAAATGAAATCAATGAAATCAATTTGAATCCACATTGGACATCAACAAAGAAAAAAGAGAAATTGACAAAATTAAAAGGAAAATTTGCAAGATTAAAAAAATTAAAATTTAAGGAGTTCTTGTTAGTCATATATTTTGATAAAGAAAATGGAGAAAATAATTGTGTGTTAATGGACCCTTACAATCTTGATCTTGACACTTCTATAAATATTACACATATTTTTGATAAAGATGACAGTAAGAATAAAAGTATTCTATTTGGACCAATTATAGATAATGATTGTATTGTCATGGCTATTGATGATCGTATTTGCACTAAAAAACTCATTGATAATAAGGTGTTAAAAGAAATTAAGAAGTTTAAATTGAAAAATCATGAAATTTATTATATGAGTCAACAATTGCATAAAATATATAAAAACATACTTGTTGATATCAATGAATTGGAATCTCCTGATGACAAAACAATTGATAAACTAATTAAAAAAAAGGTTATAGAATTCATCAACAATAAAAAAAATAAGGGATTATATGAAAACCCTATCATTAAAATTGGAAAAAATTATAAATGGACCATCATTCATAACAAAGAATGTCAACATATAAATATAAGAGCTCTAAACAAAAACAACAACAGTGGTAGTGAATATGATTTATCATATGAAGAAGAATTCATTCAATGCAAGTTATTTGATGATAGGTTGACCTTAATAACAACAAATTATATACAAATTTTTGCTGTTGATGAAAAAAAAAATTTAATATATGTTAGATATATTAGAAGTCATGACTTGAATGCAGAAAGTTTAGAAGAAAACATTAAGTCTATTGAAAAAGATCATGAAGGTTATATATTTGATGTTGACCATTTTTTTGAAGAAATTAAAAAAAATTACACCAGCAAAGACCAAATCCAAAATCAAAGTCAAAACCAAGTTTTTAAACACCACCCTTATAGAGAGATGATTCAATACTTGACAAAAGATTTCTATTATCTCACCAAATATGGGGACATGAGTTTAGATGGAGCATTACATGTAGGAAATGAACATTTTGTAGAAGAAATGGTTGAGTCATGTCTTAACCAATTTATACATGATGTTGAATCAAACATCAGTCTATTAAAAATCATTATTGCTAAATTACCACAATTAGGTGAAGGTTACCAAAGATTAATTTCAAAATTTTTTGTTCGAAATTCAGCAATGTTACTTCAATTTGATGATAAGATTGCTTTCTCTGGTTTATTTAATCGTGCAAAACCCCATGAAATATTCATTTTCCAATCTAGAAAATTTTGGCATTTCTATTTTTATAGATATTTTTATAGATATGTTAGAGATTATTTACATAAAAAATTTTTATTATTTTTAAGGCGGGTTTTTAACATTAGTGAACTTGATAGTGAAAAAGCTTGTGTGATGCTTTTAATTCCCTTCCCAGGATTTATGAATTATAGTAGTGATTACAGTTTTGCATTGGAAATGATTAAACCACAATCAAACATTTTTGTTAAATTGGAGAACTTAGAAATTTATAAACATTGGAATGGAAAATTTATCTTGGATTACAAGTGGAACCATTTTGGAAGAAAATATCACATAGGAGTATCAATGATTTATATAATATTTTTATTAAGTTTTGCTATTCCTACCACTATTAACTCAGATGACTTTTCTGACACTGAAAAGAAAAAATCATTGATGGTCTGTGTTGCATTTGGTTCATTTTTTGTGGGTAATGAAATCAGACAGCTTATTTGGGGAGGGATGAGTTATGTGAAAGATCTTTGGAATATTTTTGGTAAGAAGTATTTTTTTTATGATTTGTTTAAAATATAATTTATTTAAAATATAATATTTAATATTAATTATTATTATTGATATTAGATCTTGGTGCTTTTTTGTTACCAATTATTGCATCAGCCCATTGGTTGTATTATGACACACCACCAGCAATATGGGTGATTTCATTGGCTAATTTATTATTAGATTTGAGATTCATGTTATTATTTAGAGCTTTTAGATATTTTGGCGTTTATTATGCAATAATTCTTGGAGTGGCACAAAGTGTCTTTTCATTTTTGTTGATATTGTTTTTAATTATTTTGAGTTTTTCACATGCATTACACATAGCATTAAGACCAACTGGACCATATGATCTAGACACACCTCCTACCAGTAATAATGATCTCAACAATCCTTGGAATCTTGTTGATAATTATGCCATATTTACAAATAATATATATGATCCCACTTCATCTTTTGTGAAAAAGCCTGATGATACAGTCAACATGTTTGCTTATTTTCCTACTTCAATGCTGGCAATGTATAATTTCCTTACAGGTAAATAAACAAGTTTTTTTTAATGATAATAATAATA